AATGTTTATAACAGATTTTAATCATCCAGTATTTTCCTTTCAATGCAATAGAAAAAAGTTGTATTTTTTCGATTAATTTTCTAAAAAAATTCGGCGAGCGGATAACAAATTTAAAAAATAAATAAAAATTCCGCGGGCTAAGAGTAAATCCTTAAATTGTTCTACTTTAAGCTACAATCATCAATCTCATTGACGAAATTATACGTCTTTGACCTTAACAAATTGGCTTGGGTCGCCAATTTTCGGATCGAATCGTACAACAACTTTGTCGGGATCTTCACCGACTTCTAAAAATGAGTTCCAATCGGAGAAAAAGTAGAAACCATTTTTACGCGGTGGTGGCAATGGTTCCTCAGATACTGGTTGATCTAAGCCGTCGTTGCCGCCGAATGAACCGGCTAAATCGCCATTTTTAGACTCTTCTGTTGTAGTTGTTGTCGATGTGGTTGACGACGGTGATGATGACTCGGTCTCTGTGTCTTTTTCTTTTTTCAAGTCCTCATTTTTACCTTCGCGTGGTGTTTCACTAGTTTTTTCATCGTCCATTGCCACATTTTCCAACTTCGCAGTGTCTTGGTCGTCGGATTTTGTAATGTCATCGGCATCATCATCGTCTGATGTGGTTGAACTACTGCCCGACGATTGAGTTGTGCCGGTGATATCCAGTTGAATTCGTGTCGGTTCGGAAGCGTTGGTTTGTCGTTTTACTTCATTTTTCGTTGCACTCTGAACGTCATAGGTTGGATCTGGTCCTTCACTTTCGAGCAAAGTGTCTTTGCTCAAGTTGAAATTTTTCAAATTCAACTTATCCAATTCTTCTTCAGTGAGATTGGCATTTAGATTGTCTAATTGTTTGATAGTGTCCAGCAGTAGGTGCAATTTCTGATAATCTTCTTTCATAGTCGACGATATACCTTGACCAGTTGAGTGTTCCACTGGTTCAGTTGTATCAATTCGTCTTGTGATGACCGGTGTTGCACTTGTTGCTTGCTGATTCACACTCTTCACACCAATATTACCGAGCACTTTGGCCAATTCCGGTGACAAAAATCCTACATCAACCTCTGGCACTTCGGAGATTTTGTTGTACGGTTTTGCAGTTACTTCGAATGTTTCGCTGCCACTTTCTTCGCTGTCATTGTTTAATTTCTCAATGACATCGTCAATTTCTTTGCTGCCGCGTTCTTCTTCCTCCAGAAGACCGTATGTTTTTAGCAATTTCTCTAGGTCTTCATCTTTTGCGGCCTTTTCCTCTGGCAACGGAAGCGGTTTGAAAGAGGAAAAGTCATCGGGTTTGATTTCCAACGAACTTTCTTCGATTTTACCCTCAATATCGGAAGCAGTCACCGATTTTGGCAATGGTTTAAATTCACTCACCGAAAGCGACTCATCTTTCAATGAGCTTGGGAAAATCGGATGGAACTCATCTTGATATGCACCTGCGGTTACATGGGCTGGTGGCTCTTCATTTGTAAGCAATCCAAATGATTCCAGCAATTCTTTGAGCTCAGGTGTGAGTTCAGGTTTTGGAGTTGTGGTGGTTGTCGTCGTCGTTGCCGCGATAGTAGTTGTTCTTACAGTGGTTGGACCAGCAATGGTTGACGGTTGTTGTGACTCGCTTGAAATAGTTGGTGTGTCATCGGGTTCCAAACCAATCGAAGCAAGCATATTTTTCACATTTGGTCGCATTGTTGGTGTAACGGTCGGAGTGAAGTATGTCGTTTGTGCACTGAATCGACTGCTGTACTTTGGATTCAGCTGCGTGCTGCCCACATTCGATTCTTGTGTCACTTTGAATGTTGCGGTTTTCGGATGGTATGTGGACACAAAATCAGTTGGAATGGCATTGGCCGAAATAGTTTGAAGCGTTGCCTTTGGATGGTATGACGAAATTGGTGGTTCAAGTGTGGTCTTAGGTTGATTGAAACTAGCAGCAGTTTGAAGTGTTGCTTTTGGACGATATCCAGACACCGTTTGAACTGTTGATTTTGGATACATGTTTGCCATCGTTTGCATTGTACTCTTTGGATGGAATGTTGCAAAGGTTTGCGCTGGCGCTGGTTTCGGGTACAGGCTTGGCATTGTTTGCATCGTCATTCTCGGGTGCATATTCGCAACGGTTTGTGCTGTCAATCTTGGATTGTAAGCCGAAACAGTTTGTACGGTTGCTTTGGGATGGAACGTTGTCACCGGAGCTGTGTATGTGGTTTTCATACGGTTGATTGGGAAATTCGGTTTGAATGTGGTGGGCATTTTATGATTAGTTACATCGGAATGTGCTCCAATCATGTCTAACACGGAGTTTTCCGCTGATGCGGGGACAACAATTCGTTGAGGTTTCGGATTTTTGAGATTTTTGGTGACGTCAATCATTTTGGTGACGGGTGTTTGAGTGAAGAGCTCCTAAACGTACAAAAGGAAAATAATTAAAATTGAAAACAATCCACATCACGAGATAATTTACCTCTAATCGCTCCTCCGAGTAGTTGTTTGTGTTGAATGGCAGCACTAACATCAATGATCGCATGTGTTTGGCACGTTCAAAATCTCCAATTGCCAAACTTCGTTTGTACTCTTCACGCGTCACCATTTCGAATAGGTCTTCGATTTCCCCACGAGTCAGTCGAGGCAGACGGGGATCTTTCTGCAAAATCTTCTGCACTTCGTTGATTGTATCGGTCACATCAATCATTGCCTGCCGCACGTGCTGCTGCTTCAAATCATTCATCGATCTTGGCTCTTTGTACGAATACATTTCATATGAATCGGGATAGGCAATATTCGGCGGCGATGCTAGCACAATGCTCAATTGCAACAGCATCAGTATTGACCAGGAGAATTTACTGTTATTTCGTGGCATGTTGCTATTGGTTTCTCTGGAAGAAAAACAAAACAAGGAAAATTAGGTCAGTTAAAAATTATTCAACGATAAACAGCAGAAAAAAATGGTTGAAATAAATTTCTTATTGTCATTTTGATTAAATAATTCCAAATGTTGCGGCTATTTATGTTTATAAATGTTCCATAGGCACGAATAAAATCCCATCAACAATATTTGCGTATAGCCTACAAAAAGATAAAGTGGAACGACATAACCAGTTATTTGATGTCAATCTTTCACTTGCAAATTGCTTTAATTAATTCAACATAAACTACCTTGAAACATGATATGAAACGCAAATTTCAATTTATTCATTTTCGATTAAATCGCGTTTGTGTCAAACATCAAATGCTAAATAAATTTGCGTTCAGAAATGCCGCTATTTTCGTAACCTTTACACGCGTTGTGTCGACATCGGTTTATCGGTTTGTGTTGCCGAAAAAATGGTTTGTGTCAATTCAAATTGAAAGTTCAATGTTAGACCCATTTAATCTGAAGTTGGGACATTTACGACACACTTGGACTAATCTATTGTGTGTATGTTTTTCCACCAAATTACATTTTAAATTCAGATTAAACATGTAAGAAAAAAACGTAAATAAAAATGTAAAAAAATGGAAATATTATGTTTTCTCCTCAGTTTTCATTAATTCAAATTGAATGAATTGAGTGAAACATTGAACGCACCCATTTTATGCCGGTATTTCAACAGTCAAGTCGAATAAAATGTGATATGCAATAAAAAAAATGGATAAAAACGGCTCATGTTCAAAATGGAAATATATTTTCAAAATCCTACTTAAAAATGAAAGGAAACATGAATTGTGTGCCAAAGAGAGAGCGCATTGTTTTGAATCGCCGGTGTTGTCACTTGTCATAACATATGAATCTTGGTGAAGTGTCAAACTAGTCAAGCATCAAACACAACATACTTGACATTTATTGGCGAAGTTTCTTTGTGTGCCAAATGTGCTTTGAAAATCACGTATCATTGTCTAAAATATGGAATTTAGTATTTCGTTCGTTATTTTGAGCGTTTTTACACTGTTTTCAACTATTTATTTTTGATGCAATATTCTAATAATCCCTTTTATTTTAAACCGTATGCCATTGCCGAATAGTTCCATAGTAAAAGACATCCAAATTGGGAATAGCACAGAAAATTCGCATACACAGAAAAAGAAGAGTTTATTAAAATAAGATATATATTTGGTCGTACTGGTAAAATTACGTGATCGCTATTATCACAAGAGAAACTTTCGCCAAATTGTGAATCAGAGTAGGTGGATTTTTACCATAGTTTGAAATTTCTATATGAACCATATCATTTATATTTGTTTATTATTGAGAAAATGATTACCAAATAACTCGTTCATTAAATTTTACTCAATTTTCTTTCTTATCGTTCCAGAGTTTATCTGCACTAGACCGAAAACAAAATTAAAATTTCATCGCAAAAATGAGCTATTGGTCAAAACTGCGGAATTTCACAGCCATCGCTGTTGGTTGCGGTACTGGAATTGGCGTTTACTTATATTTAAATCGAAATCGTGAAGCACTCGTTTATACCTCATGGACAACCAATACAGTGGTGCCGCCAGAGGCCAAATGGGACTTCAATTGGGATCAGTAAGTGCGAGATATTTTTAGCAAAACTGCACCATTTCATTCATTCCATCGATTTATTGTTCAATTCAAAAATATATCTCGTTGTTTGACTCACAAATTTTCCAAATTTCTAGTCGTGATCCAGCAAGTTTGGTAAAACCATTAAAATCCAAAGCAACGCCAGAAGACGAGAATAAGTACAATGAACGTTTGGAAGCGGTGAAGCCAACGGCTGTGCGACACTTGATACTCATTCGCCATGGACAATACAACTTGGACGGTGTAACCGATGCGGATCGTTTCCTAACCGAAATTGGTCGCAAGCAAGCGGCCTATACCGGTGACCGTTTGAAATTGTTGCAAATTCCCTTCGATAAAATGGTTCGATCGACAATGACGCGTGCCCAAGAGACGGGAAAAATCATATCAACGCAGGTTGCCAACATACCGATCGAAAACTGTTCACTGATCGAAGAAGGTGCTCCGATTGCACCGCAACCACCGATTGGCCACTGGCATCCAGAACCACATGTGAGTTTCTAACATTTCACTCCCATTTTCGTGTCTATCGCACTATGGTGCGACTATGGTAGTATATCATAGAGAGACTTTATTTTAAGACAAGAATAACCGGGTGCAAGATACCATTTCTATGTGAAACCAGTACCAATTGCTTCTTTTTCATTCCACTGCAGCAGTTTTTCCAAGATGGAGCTCGCATTGAAGCCGGCTTTCGCAAATACTTTCATCGGGCTAGTGCAAAACAACAGAATGACTCATACACATTGATCGTTTGTCATGCCAATGTCATTCGGTACTTTGTTTGTCGGTAAGAAATCGAAAATGATGCAAAAATATTCTTTGCTTCTGTCGAAATGACACATATTCAATTGACTCAATCGAAAGAATATCCATTCGATTGAGAACTGAACAAAGATTATGTCCATTTTCATTCATTTTCTTTTCTTTTGTCCCATTAGCGCACTTCAAATCCCCGCCGAAGCTTGGTTGCGAATTTCCCTGAATCATGCATCAATTACATGGATTTCAATCCAACCATCGGGCCGTGTCACACTCCGTTTGCTTGGCGACTCCGGTCACATCCCACCAGAACATGTTACATCGAGATGAATTTGCATTTTTTTAATCGAAAATTTATATATAATTTGAACAAAAAAATACAGAATTGACTGCCGACACCCGAACAGAAAAATAAGTATTGATCACAAATTGTATTTAACGTATGGATTAGTCATTTGTCGTGGTTTCCGTCAAAATAATTATGTAATAAAGTGACCAATCCATTTTGTTGATGGTAAAATTTGCATTTGAATTTGTCCAAACTATGAAATTAGTGACGTTTTTTCATGCAGGTTGTTACAATGTGTCACTGTCAATTGACTATTTGCGTCTTCTACTTATTATACAGTACAGACAAATTGGAATTTTTCAAAATTCACATCCATTGTGTGTATAATTTTTTTGTCGAACGCATCAATTATTTCTTTTCCATGCAATTTGGTTTTTTTTTCTGCAACGACGTACAACTTTAAATCGCTTGCATAATACGTTGTTCCGCAAAATGTCATCAAAAAGATACATTGTGATGAGGTAGTCGTAAATTTGGTTGATTACCTCATTCTAATATTTGGTTCCATTACACAATGAATGGTTTTTAAGCGATTTGTATGCAAATTTTCACGCTTCAAATGCGAAAAATTGGTTGAATATTCACATCTTGAATTGCACATAACAAGCCGTCAGGTGCATATAATGCAATTTACGCGGCGGAATAAATTACAATTAGTTTATGCAATATTAGTTTCTGGAAATTCAATTTTTCAATGCATTTCTTCATTTTCACTTTTATGCTTCAACATTTTGTTTTACAAGAATACGAAACCGATGAACTGAAACCGGTAAACTTGAAATAATTCCATTAACAAAACGGTATTTCCATTTTAGTTCAGTTCTTAAGCGAAAGTATACATCAAAACAGAGTACAGAAAACATCTTTTGAAAAATGATGGGCCAAAACAATGGTGTGTGTTCAGTTTAATAGCCGTAATTTATGCGAGATAAGACGAATGAGAGAAAGAAAAGAAACGGTGAAAAAATGATTTTGTTTTCTTCTCAAACCGTTGCGTTGAGAGTGTGTCATTTGGCGTGAGTAATGAAAGTAAAAGCACGACCTCGACATCTTCCAAATTCATAGTCTAAAATTTTGGAATTTAATTGAAATACGCATGAGAAATTTCTTTTCGGTACAAATGAGCTGAATTCGTCATAGCACATTGGCATTTTTGATTCAAATGCCAACACATAAAACTTTTATTGTGACCAATTTATCCCAATTACAAGCATCAATGAGATGCCTTGGTCCAATATTCATTTATCATCATTAGCGAGAACGAAGCAATGGCACCGCATATTTTCTTTTTCAACAATAAATGGCCCAATTGCAACCGCGTTGTATTTGTTTCCGAAAATGTGGAGAAAAAAACCAAAGAAGAAGTGGAAAAAAAGACAGAAAATTGAAGTGATTAACCGAAATTGTGTGGCTGGTCCGCATATAACTAAAAGTACATTTACTTTCAACTGATGACTCGTTTCGTTGTGTGTTTTTTTCCTCACTTTTCGAATTGTATTTCTGAAAAATCTCCACGAATCACAAAAAATGTGTAACAAAAGTGAGAAATGTTGACAAAACCTTGGTCGGTGGCTTTTACAGCAGCCAAAATGAACGCACCATAATGAACGAAATCTGTGTAAACAAAAGGTCATGCTAAACAACTTTCTCAATCGGTTTTTATCATGCTTTGATTGGCCCATGCAGTTGGTCATTTCGATCGGCACCTCTCATTCGATGATTGGACTTTTTTTATGCCGTTGGTTTTTTTTCTTCTTTTGTGTGTCGATTTTATCTTTGGAAAAACTCGTTTTACTTTCGAGCGGCGGATTTTTGGAGTGTGGTTTCGCATTGACGTAAATTTCATCGGTAATAACACCTAATTACGGAAGTACTTTTTGTTTTATTTTCGTACAGCCCAACAATGTCTGGTTTCCTTGGCCTCTGATCTTTTCCGTCGAAATAAAGAGACTGAAAAAAAATTCAAGCGCATGATCGTTAGCCCAAGCAATGTTCAATCTCATCGTTGATTTGAAATAAGTTCGAAAGGTGAAGGAAATATAAAAAGCCACAATGTCATACAGCATAATGATCTGTAGTAATCATAATTGGTCTGGTGAAGCAAGTAAAACAAAGCACCAAAGAAACACCTATCATTCACTCATACTACGGCCACTCGATCGATGAATTATGAATGCAATAATTGAGTGTCATTTGAGCTTGTTACAGGAAAACGATGGATTTGTTTTCCACTTGATTGAATCGTGTTTTGGTCAAATGAATCTTCGTCTTGTTAACTTTTCTGCCAACTTTCTTCAAACGGTAAACTATAGACGCCTGTCAGCTAGCTAAACGATTTGACTGTGATTGATTGCTATAAAATTGCAAATACACTGAAAATGCGGATAATTCTCTGGACAACTTTGTAAGAAATGAGCATGAAAAATGACATGTGGCGCAAATAAATAAACGTTTCTAACGGCATCATCCGCTCTCATCACATCTTTTGCATAAATGAGTAAAAAAATAAACATAATCCAACACTAGACGGTCATAAACTCAAAATTTTTGCTTCACTTGCAACACGACTAACGTTCTCACTTCACACATCTGACTTCAATTTCACTAATACGTCCACCCATTGACTATGGCATATGTTATTGACCCGAACCGGACTTTACCGCCGTTTTTCTCGTTATGCGTTGCATTTCAAAAACTCACGCATGTTTACAGTTTTGAATGCATGCCGATTTTCCATCATTGAGAAACTTGTTGCTGACTTGGATTGAAGTTCAACGCAATAATCATTCTTTACGCCTCTTTGGCGTCGTGTTGGAGGTTCAACAACGGCCCGAAGACCGGAGAGCAAGAGAGAGAGAAAGAAGTGTTGAATTAAAATCGGAGGTAGATCGACTTGACATGAAAATTCAAAATTGCATTGACCCAAAAAAAAATTGACCACTTCTCTTGCAGTAAAACATGAAAACGAGTTTTTCTTTGGTTTCACTCAGAAACTAAATGAAAAAAAAACCATCTGAAAGATAATTAAACGGCAAAGATTTTTTTGTTATGGTCTATAAAACTACGATACATCGCTTCAATTCAGGCATTTTAATGCTAATTTTAGTATTTATCGTCGGTTTTTTTTACCTTCAATTCGGTTTGCTCCCCAGTTGATTTGTTGATTTTTGGATCGAAACAACACAAAATCAAAATAGGTTATCGAATCGATTAACAGCAACTGTTGAATTTTGTTTGTTTTCAGCTATTCGTCTATGTAAACAGCAGTTCACACCTGTCACACACACGCATATGAATTACACTTAATGAATGTGACTTTTTCTTCAGTCCATCAGACCGTTTGGTCCAATGTAAATACACACAATTTCTCTCTTTCGGTGGCTCACTGACGGGTTGTGGTTTCTTAATTTGGATAAAATTGATCACAGCATGAATGTGAAATTTCGTTTATTTTTTTCTTTCTCTTCCAGAAATCAGTCGAAGTGACTCAGTTTCTCACTAAAAAAAAATCAAACTCACACACGCACTTGTACGTACACTCACATAAATCGGCTGGCAATTCAAGCGAAAATACAGAATTTAAAATCAAGGTAAAGTTTATTTTCTGTTGGTCATTGAGGTCTTGAGATGTATGCAGTTTGTTTTCTATTGTCAATATGTACTAAAACGCAATCGGTCGAGTCAGTGCAGTCAATTTTCCAATGAATACGTGACAAAAATCGACAAATAAACACGGGCACACGCATTCACAAAAAGCCACGATAAATCAATGATCTGTGGTATACGATATGAGTATTGGCTCGGAACTTTCTCTGCAAAAATCGCACGCTCAACTCGATGACGTATTTTTTTTCGATGAGTTGACTTCAATTTTGTGTACGAAGAGAAAAAAAAGAAGAGAAATGATAATGCTTTGCATACATGGATATCACACACAAAAATAGCACTGAAGACGTTTAAAACGAATCAAGTGGAACATGAACACACAATATTCATTCAACAGATATTTTTCTCTCTTAATGGCGAGACGGTGATCGTTTCATAAATCACAGTTTTATGCTAGTTAAATGCAATATTTCAACAAAAAAAAAATGTTGTAAATTCAACGGAAACTTTTTAAACAATAGACTCTGCGCTACACACCGTTCACTTGCTTGTTTACCAATCAACTGTTGGGCTTCAACTGAGGCTGATAGTTGAGCTAGCACAAACAACGGCTAAAACGTAGGGAAAAAACGTAAGCCGGTGAATGTGGTGATCGTTGCGATATGCTCTGCTGTTGAGCATACTCGGTAGATATGCATATGAATCACGCTGGTTACCACAATGAAATCGACCCTTTCATTGTGTATATGTTACACGATCGAACATGTTGCAAATATGTGGCGCGTGGCAAACAGCACAGGTGATTGCCAATCGCATAGAGAACAAAATAAACAATATTGACATTTTTGCTTCTATTTTGTACAAAGATAAGATGACTTGCATAACATCATCCCTCCCCATTTGGCATACAAAGAAAAGTTTTTTTCATTAGATTTTTCTATCGCCATCAAATGTTATCTTCAAAAATTTAGAAAAATTTATCAAATCCATCATTTGAAAGAAATTGAAATACCGACATTTCCATTTGTTTTATTGAACGATTTGTTTGTGCGAAGATTCTATTTAAGTTTTTTGTTGATGAGTAAACTATTGAAGGATAGATATTTCTTTGTGTAAAAACCGAGAATAAAGTTGAAAAGTGTGGAAAAATTTAAGGGTCATATTCACTCATTTGCGCTGTTTTTAGAAAAGTAATAATAATATTTTTTTTTAAATCCTCTTGAGGCAACGGTTTTGCAATGCAGTTATTTGTATGGAACATTTGTATGTGACACCTATATGTGTGTGTCGGTTTATATGCGCATTGAGCATGCCTATGAATGTATTGTCAACAGAGCTGACAAAGGCACCTACGAGGTGCCGGCACTTACTTGAGTGCGCACCTAATACTATTAAAAAACACTTTTTTCTCAATAGTTTTGGAATTTCATTATTTTCATCATCTAAATATCATAGATTTATTTTGAAAAAAATTACATCAAACTCAAAAATACTCAATTTTTTTTCGAATAGTACTAGGTGCGCACCCAAGGTAGTAGGTGCCGGCACCCCGTAGGTGCCTATGTCAGCTCTGATTGTCAATATCTCTTTTGGAGTTGGTGTTTTTATGACAAATACCTGAATTGTGTTTGCATTCTATTTCAAAGTCTTTTTTTTTACTTTTTTTCAAAATATTGAAACGATAGAAATGGAAAAGTTTAAGCTGAAAAGTTCTTTCAAAATGTCGTGAAGAAAGAGTTCACCAGGGAAAACTTGGAAAATTACTTCGAAAATGTGTATCTTCCTAAATCCATGAAACGCATGAAACACTGCCTGGTTATCATTGCATTCGGAGGTCATTTCATCTACTTCCTAACTGGATTGATTTTATTTGATTGGGTAAAGTATAGTGAATTCAATTTCAAAAAAGGAAATGTTTCAATTTTCATATGTTTTAGCCATCAAAATGGGAAAGCATCTGCTCCTTTCCAATCTACTCAACTCCAACCCAACTCATTTGGTTTTCAATCGTACCCACAACAGGTAATACGTACGATACAAAGTAGATTATATCAATATTAACACGAATAAACACTTTACAGCATTTATTCTGGTATTCGCCCGTATGGAGGAAAACTCAAAACCTACAAATATTATTATTGTGCAACTTTGTTCGCCTATGAATTCGTCTGGATCTGTTCGATTTTCACCTATGTTTATTTGTGGATACACATATATATCGATTATGCTGAAAAGAGTGTAGAACCATGGTTGAACATACAATTTTTGTTCCTTTTATATGTTGTGGCGGCTGGATACACGATTTGTTCTCATTGGGCTAAGAATACATCTGTCCATGTCTTTCTGTGTCGACATGAGATTCTTGGAGTAAGCGAATTTGAAGAAAATTTACTGTAAATATTCATTGAGTATTGTTTCATTTCACTTCCACAGATAGAACCAAAAATAACAAAATATTATGTCGGAAGTCATGGCATATCTCGTGAATAGCTTAAACTTTTGTTTTTATTTTTCACGTTATCGTGTATATTGTCAATTATTACAAGTGGATTCGATTATGGATTAATAGCATTGCTCCCCACAATGATTTACATAGAGACAATTGGTTTGTCATTTAGACATGTTCTTTTTTTAAATTCTGTAACAAATCAGTATGAAAGTCTTTTTCATTACAGCATCCATGGTATTCAGTATGGATCATTGTTCCGGAAGAGGTGGATTTTGTTTGGCTATATGGTACTTCTTCATGGGAATATTTTTTGTGCTTAAACTATTGTCATGGAGGGAAAACTTTTATGATTTAATTCATATAGCAGACATTATCTTGTTTTGGATCTGCAGCCTATCATTAGGTGACGACTGACATTTCCACCATTAATGGTTTAATTAAAACTGAATCGATTAATTCTTGTGTTCCATAGGTCGCCAATGGTTTTTGGATATGGAAATCAATCCACAAAAGTATACAGATCACTTCGAATTTCAATTCAACGTACTTGTATTTTTTGGTACACAAAAAGAATATGAGATATGGTCCCCAAAATTGTCGATCACAGAAACCGTTTAGTTCATCCGAATAAGTCATGAGTCAGAAGAATTGAGATTTATTTGTACAAGTCAGAACTTTTTGAATATCCCGACAAAGTTGTTGTACGATTTGATCAAAAAATAAAGACGTAGACGAGAATGATGATTGTAGCTTAGTAATACAATTTAAGGATTTACTATCAGCATGCGAGATTTCTGTTTATTTTTTAAATTTGTTATCCATTCTTCGAATTTTATGGAAAATACAACTTTTTCCTTCGCTTTGAAAGGAAAACATGGAATGATTTAAATTTCGTGTAGACTTTAGAAAGCAGAAAAACAGTGTGAATAGTTCTTTTAGAAAAATTGGACGAAATACCAAGAATAAAGTAGATCTTACCTTGGAACAACTTTAATGGGCTTTTTCATTTTTACCTTATCACAGAGTATTTGGTTTGTTATATTCCGCTTTATTCAAAGAAGAAAAAACCTTTTTTTTTTCAATTGTTTTGATTTGTATTTTATAAAATTGTCTCTTCATTAATAAATTACTCGTTTGTAAAATGTGTGGCATACGCACAAAATGTGTGGTTTTTGAGCGATGACTGGCATAATTGTTTCAATGGAATTCTACTCCATGTGTATCAATTTCTAAAAATCATTTTTTTTGTTGCTAAAATTGGGGAATTTTTTGCACTCAGTTCGATAGATTTTAATAGATATTAATTACTTAAATAAATTCGAATCAAATCAAATCAATTTTCTTGTATTATTGCCTATAAAATCTAAATGTGTTTTTCGGGTAAATCTAATGCAAAGCACAAGTAGATATTATATGTGTTTTTTTGACAAAAAAAAATTGTTTCCATATGGACTGGCCTCAATGTGAAGCATAGAATGAAAATTTATTTACAATATTTTAAAAAATCTAATTCAATAATTTTAATTCCTAAAAGCGAATTGTCTGTGTATCTAAGAGAATAGAAAACTGTTCGATTTATTTGTTTCTGCCCTTAATGGTCATCAAGGTTATACAAATAAAATAACAGCTTGAATGAATGAACTTCCTGTATTCAATTCGTGTCGAAAAATTATCCTCATTTCATTAGGAATAGCTGTATTGTAAAGTCAAATTTAGCTTATTTTTCTTCTATTCAATCTTAAATTCTATGCTGGATGTCTTAATTCACAAACAATTTGCGCATTTGTTTTAAGTGGTTTATTTCACCCACCGAATTGATATCACAAAGATTTTATAAATAATTGTGTATTGTAATGTCTTATTGGTTTAATCATAAATGAATTTTGATTTTCATGGTGCCATTTGTTTTCTCCTTAAATAAGAAATTCTACAAATAAATTACGTTGTGCATGTGTGTGTGTGTAATTGACAGTCGTTAAATTCTCTCATGTGTTTTTTCCTCTATGAATTCAGTGTTAAAAACAATGTAGACGTTGACTGTTGAGCTACACCTCAATACTGTTTAGGCTGCCACATGAAATGTTTTCATTGTTACGGCCGCCGAGACGGTGCCGTTTGCTGGATGCAACGGCCGCCGCAACGCGGCTTGGAATCGGTGAACGATTGTGATGTAAAATGTCATTGCTGATGCCACTGCGCATGAATCGAGGGCTTTGTGGCACGGGAGGACCGTTTGGTACGCCATTGGTTCGGCGCGGTGTGCGACGCAACGAAGTTGGAATGCGATTATTTAAATCGGTCACTTGTGGTATGCCGATTTCAGTGGTCGAACCAATGTTCTGAATGGTTGGCAGGCCATTGATCAGCGTACCGTTGAATGGTTGCGGTTGTGACGATGGTGGCGGTGGCAGTCGATTTGCTTGATTACGGCGATTGTATTGCTCGGTACCGGGCGATGGTTCACAGTTGTTGTTCTGGATGTGCGTGTGCTGATGGTGGTTGTCCGTAATGGTTGGTGCTCCGGGCGTCAGCGAGGTCGGCAGAAAGCGCAGCTCCATCACGGTGCGATTATTCTAGAAGAGTCACGCTAGAAGAAATTCTTCAAAGTCGTACAACGAAGTCTACTTATAGCCACAAAGACAAGGATCGATTTCGTTTTTGGATGGGATTTTTTGTGTGTGGGTGGGATAGGATTGGATAGGAGTTCGTTGTTTGATTTCATGCACTACTTATTGTCATATGTATTAATCGACTGAGTACAAATTAGTTTTTTTTTGTTATGCGTTTTAATTTTTCTTGGTCGTTTTTTAGTGGGATTTTTGAGGTATTTTTTGTTGTTGTTGGGACGGAAGTGACATTTAGATTTGTAATTATTGTGCGGCACCTACACTACATCTACACTTGAGCAAAATATCGGTTTTGAATCAATGGTATACTTAAATTTCGATGCTAGAATAACACCTGCGCTTAACAGCATTTAAGCACAAGAGCTCAATAGCGATCGTTCAAACACATTTTACCACGTAAATAAAAATGACAGCGCTTAACACTTCTGTACTTCTGTTGTATCATCGGTTCGAGTAAACTTATTTAAACCATTGCTTCGATTGAGTTGATTGAGCATAAATAATTCATGAATCGTTCATTCCGAAATTAGTTTGATTAATAATTGCTAGTTCGGTTAAAATAGTACGATCTGGCTACAGGTATGTTTTCATATGGTCTAAATACCTTATCGCCATCGGCTAAAGGATTCGGCGTGATATTCATATTCATACGCGGCACAACGCCATTCAATCGATTTTTATGCACCGGCGAATTGATGCGTCCATTGCTTCCGACATTTCCAACGGGGAATCCATTTGCTTCGGCTTGTATGTGGTCCGGATGTGATTTATTTTCATTTGCATCTGTTCCAAAGAGTGATGAAAAGTTAGTGAAAATAATCTGGATGAATCGAACAAAGTGTATACGAACCATGCAAACCAGATTTCTTTCGTCGTTTCATGAAGAAGCACAGGAAAATGAATGTGATAAGCAAAATGAATCCGGCTCCTACCAAACCAGCCACCAGTAAAACGTATGGTTTTGGTGGTTTGGTCGTACTCTTGCTGGTAGTTATGACACTCGGATCGATCGGTGATGGAGTTGACGGTTCTATGAGGAAAACAATTAATATAATTAATCAAATCGTTATGTTGGTCGACGAAAAAAAATAAAATCCCACTTACTCAGTGTTTTTCCAGTGATGATTGCCATAAAATCGGATGCAGCTGACGAAGTAAAGCTTTGCAATTTAAATTCATATGCGGTTCCTGATTCCAAGTCATCAATTTGGAAGCTACGCTTTTCCATGCCATCAATCGTTGCCTTCATATATTCGCCAGCAGTCGAAGCCGGTCGGAAGTAAGCGTAGAAACCATCAAAATCGATCTGATTGTGTTCGGCCAGTGTCCAGTGCAGCACGACTGACGTTTCAGAGATCGGTTCGACTCGTGTAAGATTCGGTGCTGGCAACTGTCTGTTCCTCTCATCAATTTGCTCTATGCTTCTCAGCAGGAAGTTTCGCGATGCATTGCTCAGTTGATTGTCATTGTTTGAGTACACCGCTGCAATGCGGAATCGATACCAATTCGAGGCTTTCAGTCCATCGACTTCGTACATAAATGTATTTGGTGCGATATCAACATCGGCCGTCATCCATTGTGAACGTTTAGTAGGCTTTGTTGTGCTGCCAAGCAAACGATACTGCACTTTGAAGAAAAGAATGGGTAAACCTTCGTCATGTGGTGGCACCGACCAACGCACCATCACCTTATCATCAGCCAAACGAGTCACATTCGGTCGTGTTGGTGGCACCATAATCGCTGTAGAAAAAAACGAGAAAAAAAACCAAATTGATATTATAAATAAATAGATTTACGTAAATCGCGAACGCTTAGCGTTTGTTTCTTGTTGCTAATATGATTTACTAGTCTACAAATGAAAATGAATGATTAATGTAATGATTGATTCATTTATGGAAATAGATTACACATTAATTTAAAATTGTTTGAGTCAACAACGACGACGAAGACAACGATGGAAAAAAATCCAGTCAAACATGAACGTGCCATAAATATGTCGGTCGTACATTTGCGGGGAATTAGATAACTAACAGCCGCTCTGTGCCGATTGAGAATATTGAATTAAATAACGAAAAACCTTTCATTTTCCTACAAAGATTTTGGAATCCAACATTAACACTTTATGAAATGTAATTTGATTGATAAAATAATGCGGTGTCAGTTTGAAGAAAGTGAATTTTCAGTCTTTTTCTCTTGATTTCATCTCCGTGTGTCGCATTGCAAGTGCAAAGAAATTATGTATGCCATTGCAATGATGCACACGACTCTGTTATTAAGTGTGCTCCAGAATTCAGTGTCTTGTGGGCTTAAAACAGCATGCAGACAGCAAAAAGAAATCCATCTCCTTGCTGCGATGCTGCCCAATAATTGCAAATCAATTAAGTGATTATGCAGATTAGTACAGTTTATGCTATGCTGTGCATGGTGAAGTGAGAGACTCGGTAATCGCTCTCTGCTGCGAGGCATTTTTTAAATTGACTACGCGTTGTTATTGCTATTTTTTTCTGCTCCCTTTTCGACAAGCTTTCATTTTATCGATCATCTTTATCAAATTCAAATCAGCCTTGTATATGTCACTTAAACTAATTTCCCATCTGATGAACGATTATGAAATAAGCAAGTATAATTTGTGGACACCGTTAAAAGATCCAACAACAAAACACTTCTTTTTTTTCGCTCCGTTATTTTCAATTTACTTCCGCAAAAATTATCATCGCATGAAAGAGAAGTTCATTTCATTGTACTTTTTACTCTAATCGAGTGAAGAGGACAAGAAAACATTGAATGGGAAAAGAAAAACCTACAAAATGATTCAAGAAATGAAGTGAATATGAAAATGTCTGTCTGGTTGTGTTTTTTTTTTCCTCTGCAGAAAACATGTTTCATTATGTCATCAACAGGAACTAGATGACAAAGAAAAATTAGTTCAATAGGAAATTTCATTCGTTTTCATTGCAAGACTGCGCATTATTTGAATGAAACGGTAATTTCATCGCGTCAACGTGATGGAGATGGGGAAAATAGTAGAGACACTGTCCTTTGAACAACCGAAAATGTAATGAATCGTTTCCGTTGATAACGACCAACACGTTGTTAGTTGTTAAAATATTCCGTGCGCAGCTGTGCTGCTATTAAAATTGAACAAATTTCTTAAATTAATTTATAATTTGCTATGGCATATCTTTTTTCGTGTGTTTATATTATTTATTTTCACATTCTTGTCATTTTTCGTGTTGAGCGGCGTACGTCGTTTGACTGCCAATTATTTTAATCAGTTTTTGTATTTTGTAATTTGACGAGCTAAATTTCAATGGAAAATAAATGTGTTTATCAAAGGTAAAATCAAATGTAAAATTTTGGATTGGATGCAAAACCAAATCTATTTTTGATTCTCTTCGATACAGATGACGAGTGAATATGGTTCGTTGTCATAGAAAAAAAAAACTAATCAAGACCGATTCGTGGAAAAATTCCAAGTGTATGCATGCATAATGGAGAGAAAAAAAAAACTGCTTAAGATACGTGCTGTGCGGTATACGCACGTAATAATAAATATTATTAACGAAGAGCGAGGGAAAATAGCAACGACCCAAGTCGATGGCGAATTATCGAAAATGATAAAATGTAATGCACACATCAAGAAAGTTTGAATGGCTCTACGAATTACGCAATTTGCCTGCACTGAATACATCATTTGCGCCGTTTGGATTTATGGATCGATCTGCGTTGCAAATGATTTTGTTGACTTTTCGAGCTGGTACTCGCTGGCCGCCGAGTCTCGCGGAATAATAACGATTTTCGATTGATTGAAAGTGCGACTCCGCGCGCTCGCACAAGTGTCACCATCGTCGCGATGTGTGACGAATATGAGTGCAAAGCAAAATAGCACCACGCCGTGTGTATGTGTCTCTCTCCCATCGAACCATCATCATAGATGCATTGCTAGCACACATTTTTATGACGCGTACTTCAGCCGTCGATGTTTTTTTTTCGTCTTCCATTTCAATTCGTGACATTAACCATTTCCCTAGTTGTTGTTTTGCGAATTTAACCGACTTTTGAATATGTTATATGTCCATCGTGTGCGAGCACACCGAGCGCTATTATGCGATTAAATTTTTTTCCCAACGCAATAGAAAAACAAAAGTGAGAGAGTGAAATTGCAACGATGACCACAATTTTTTAAAAGCAACTTAATCGCGCGCGCTCACACTCGACCTGATATATAAAAGCCCAATGCACAAATCAACGCGCAGTCATTAGTTGGTAAGCTTCTTGATCGAATTAAATTGGAGCAGAAAATTAGAGTGCGTGCATCATTTCAATCATCCGCGATGGATACATATTTTGTGAGTTTTGGTGTAATTTTAGTGAAATAAAATTGAATTTTTTTTTACACACACTTGTGAATAAAATAAATGGTTTTCAATTTCGTTTGTTTGTTTTCGTTCTCAAAGGCATTTTTCATTTTGTTCGCCACAATTGCTGGTTTCTTTTGTGCTGAGCCGATTAGTGTGGAAGCGAACACTCAGCAAACGATCAAAGAAGCTCAACCGCAGAAACGTCACATTGGTTTAAGCGCATTGAGTGATTGCGATGGGCCGACTGGCGTTGTTGGTTTACACGGTGGATTGCACAGTGATGTGGCCGTTCATGGTGATTTAGCGTTGGGATTAGGACATGGACATGGTTATGCACCAAGTTATGGAAGCGGTTATGCATCAGGTTATGGAAGTGGCTATGGAAGCGGTTATGGAAGCGGTTACTTGGGTTCAGGTGCACTTTTATCGTCCGTTGGCCACGTCGGAGCTATTGGTCATATCGGAAGTGTTGGTCACATTGAAGCTGTTGGTGGTCCTATTGGTCATATTGGAGGCTTGGGAGCGATTGTTGCAGCACCGCATGTACTTTCTGGTGGTTATGCTCCAAACGCACCTGTTTTGTCATCTTCAATTATTTCGCATGCACCAGTCGTTGCACCGACCGTAAGATACTTTATTTTAATACAGTAAAATCGTATCGTAAAAACATCTTTCAAATTCAACGGCTTTCGAAACGAAATTCTAATCAAATCAAATTATTTTCGACAACAGATAGCCATTGCTGCACCGTCAGTAACAAAAGTCGTAAGTCATCCGGTGCCTGTGCCCTTTCCCGTTGACCGACCTGTTCCTGTGCCATATCCAGTGCCAAAGTGAGTGGTTCTTTTTTTTGAAAATGGTTCCATTTTTGCAAGACTCCATTCAATTCAGAATTTTCTTTATACTCAAGTAAAAATTATCTAAACGCCGAAATGAATATTTCAGACCAGTGCCCGTTGCAGTGCCGGTCGATCGGCCAGTGATTGTGCCAAAGTAAGTAGACAACGACACCGATATGCGGCTATCGGAATGGCTATTGAAATTGGATGGTTTTCCGCACATCTTTGCACATGTCTCAATTTCAAACTCAAACTTTGACTCACTCATCACAATGCATAAATTATGAGCAATTTTCGTTAGATTAAGAACAGGAGAAGGAGAAAAACACCCTATATATTTGTTTGTATCAATGCAATTGTATTCAATGGATGATTTTTGTTTTGTCCTTAAAGGCCGGTGGCAGTACCTCATCCTTATCCTGTGCACCACGTGATCACAAAGTATACACACGCACATAATTGCACCTCTTGAATTTGTTCGTCACTGAATTTCAATTTGCATTTACAATTTTTTAGAAAGGTTACAGTTCCGTATCCGGTACCAGTGCCATCACCATCCGTTTCGTATTCGGCACCAGTAGTTGTCGGTCATGGTTTGTATGATCATCCGTATGGCCATCGTGTGTATGGTAATGGATTGTATTCATCGTACGGTTCATCGCCTTATTATCATTCGTCTGGCGTAAAAGTGATCTCACCAGCATACAAATCGTACTATGGTGGTCATTATGGTTCAATCGGAGGCTATCACGGTGGCTATAGCAGTGGTTTTCACGGTGGAATCAGCAGTGGTTATCACGGTGGAATCAGTAGTGGTTACCATGGCGGAGTTAGCTTCCACGGAGGCGCCTTAGGAGTAAGCCTAGGTGGTAAATATGGATGGCCTCTTAAATTCGGTGTGAAATACAATCATTGGAAATAAACTGCACACAATTTACTGAATACATTCATTTATTTTGTGCCGCGAACATCGCATTTTGCCATTAATTTGTAATAATTTCATTTCATTTTGATTTTTGACCGTAAAAGTCTAAATAAAAAAAACTTATTTAAAAATATGTGAGTTGAGTAGAGTTGTCGTTTTATTTTGTAGCACGAGTAGCTCGTAAAGAGACATTTGAATGGTTTGAGAGCCATTTATTTGTGAAACACTACTCACAACACAAGCGAAGTGAGTGTTTGTATCGAATGAAACGAACTCACAGCGACGGTCGGTCGACTTGTCAAACTGTTAGTCATTCACTCAAGCATACCTCATACACATACACGCTCACACATGCACACATATCTGTCTCTTCTTTGAGTTCTACTCGAAACGATGCGATGCACACACTAACGACCCGACTGACAACACATCGCCTTCCGAACGTATGCGAGCGAAAGAGACAACTCGCTGTGACTTAGAGCGAAAAACAAGTTTGTGAGCTCAAAATGAACGCACAAATATTTTACAACGACCAATATCCATTTGACAGTCTGTGAGTAAAGAATTTTTCACTTGGTACAAAGCGAGTGATTATTTTTGTGTTTTAGTTAAATTTTCTTTTCAAAAGATCAAACCAACAAACACGGTATAAATTGAGAATTTATTCAATGCTTGAGTGAAATAAATACAAAAATCTAAGGGGAACGTTAAAAATTCCGCAATCCACGTAGATTTTCATTTTTTTACTTAATTGCGGTGCAATTCATAGCAAAGGGTTTCCATTTTCAACGTCGTCCAATGAATAAAAGCCGAGAAGAAGACTCAATGGACGATAAGAAATCGCTTCGTTTCACCGAGGAAGAGAAATTGGTGTTGTTTTCATTGTTTGGCAAATATAAGGATGTGATTGACATTCGACACCGTCGAAATTCACAGTCCCAGCACAAACAAGTGCAACTACGGAAATGCTGGGACACAATACTTGAATCATTTAATGCACATGCCGACACAAGCAAACGAACCATGAAACAAATCCAAAAGTTTTGGCTCAATTCAAAGTAAGTGATTTGCATGTTTTTTTTCGGGTGTTTTTCTTCGATTTACTTGGTCCATTTTACGATTTTAGATTGAGAAAACGGTTGCCGGACGACAAAGATGGTAGTAAATCACCTGAAAAGCGACAAAAATTGATTGAGGTAAAAACATCGCCGTCGAAAAAGTCAAACGATGCAGCATATCAAGCGTTGGTCAAAACGTGCAAAGATTCAGACAATGATGATGACGAGCACTCGGACCGGAAACTATCGCTGCATACAGCCGATGAAATCATAATTCCTGATACAAATGAAGCCAATGACGAGCAATATGAAGAAGAACAATACGATCCATTGACTGATTCGTATTTCCAGAATGACGCCATCACACTGAAAGTGATTAACGATCAGATTGGTATGGGTTCGTAAATGAATTTTACTGAATTGTGTTTTGTTTATTTATCGTGAATGCATTTTACTCAAGTGTGTTTTGTTTATTTTTCTTCTAAACATTTATTATCCATAGATTTGGCCCTTGCAACGCCGGCACCGTCGAGCATAGTCACAATTCCAGCTCAGTCACAGCGTGGAACGACGTTAGTCGCTCTGCCTGGCCAAGGATATGAGCACGTTAAAAAACAAGAGCCATCACCATCATCGTCGTCTGCCGCACCCACCACAGCCTATATCACTTATTCACCTTCATCGACTGCCACCATCGGCAACCAAAACATTCAACTAGTGAAAAGTGCAAATGGAAACTACTTGATAACAACGCCAACTGCTGCAACAACCCAGCAGGTGATTCGAAGTGCACGAATCAATCAGTCGTCACCAATTACGGCAACGACATCGACAAAAGATCTAAACGAAAACGCATCCATTCAGGATTTACAAAAGCAGGAGCATTTGTTGCGCGTTCGTGAGGCAAAATTGCGTTGCGAAGTGCAGGAAATCGAAAAGGAAAAGGGCCGAGAGGAATTGCTACAAATGCGCGAAATTCATCGCATGAAAATTAAAGAGATGGAAATGAGACTACGAAATATGGAACGTTCTTGATATGATAAGCCAAAATTTATCGATTGTACTCAATACATTTAAAAATGGTGCATTCTATTCTACGAGTTATGTTTTTCTCCATGTGCAGTAATGTAACGAAATTTTTTATATTTGTCAACCACTACTTTTCTATTGTAATAATAAATATGACCTATGACGATTAAAAATCGGATAGTAATTTATTTTGTTGCGTAGCATGGCCTAGTAATATAAGCAGATAAGATACAAAACCAGACTTACTATGCTTGTGCTTCTTTTTACCCTTGCCCGGTTTGCTGTTCCGTTCACGATTCGACTTGGAAAAATTTGGAATTGTGCCGAGTGGCTGTGTGCCCATCATATCACCGGAAATGGTTTTTGGCTTCACTTGAAGCAGTTTACTTTCGCAAACTTCACTCTCTTCGTTTCGTGCAAAGCATTGCACAATGCCGGCGTGTTTCTTCTGCAGACCGTCAATGATGAGTCGGCTACCAGTGGCACGAATTGTTGGATCCATGCGCGTATCGACACCGTTGATGAGCCAATAAATCGTTGGGATGGGAAAACCTGTCGCGATACATTCCAATTCAAGTCGTTCACCTTCGTCGGTAAGCGTGTCGATTGGGCCTCGTTCTATTTTTGGCGCTTCCAAAACATCTAATCGAATTTTCAACGTTTTCGCTGGTATGATGCCATTGTCCAATTGGCAAATGTACTCTCCGCGATCTTCGGGCCGTGCGTTTAGGATTTGCAATCCGGTGCCAAACACAGATGTTCGATTATTTGAAATCACCGTTCCTGGTCGCGTCCAACTCGTTTTTGGCACTGGATAACCAATGCCTGGACATTCTAGAATTGCCGTTGCACCAGGCTTAACGATCACATGATCCGATGAGCTGTACAAAAGTGTGGGTGGTCCTCTCGGCGTGTGTTCAACAGTCACACTGGTTTTTTGCAATGATTTCACTTCGACACCGGTTATTGTATTCACAGCTTTGCACCAATACGTGCCCGAATCCAAATGCGTGACCGACTGCAACATAAGAGCTCCCGTTGACAATTGTGGATTAGTGTTTGACAGCGGTTGATCATCTCTGCAAATTGTATATATTCAAAAAAAAGTTAGTCAAATTCCATATTTTTAACGCGTTTTTAATGTAGAAAAGCAGTTATTTTATTGATTCTTTTTTATCGCTGATGCTATTTCAAATCAATAAAAGAAAGAACTGCCGATGAACTCACTTGTAAAAATTCCAAATGGGTTGCGGGTTGGATTTCACTTCTCCACAGTTGATTAGTATGCTATTGCCGGGCGGCACTCTCCAGTGTAGCACGCGTGCATTTACCGATGTGTCAACGCTGATATTTGCCAAAAGTAGTTTGGCTGGAATGGAGGCGAGTGCACTGGCTCCCAACCATGCCAAACACTGATACTCGCCCGCCGAATATTGATTCACATAAATTCGCAATTTTGATATGCTATCTTCGGTCGTTATATTGTATCCATCCTGTTTTAATAAACGCCAGATAACAGAAAACAGAACATAAAAAAATGATCGTTAAATGACACTCGATATGCGTGTGTGTAAGTGTGTGTGTTTGTGGTTTGGTTTGATGATGGAAATTGATTTTTTTATGGCAAAATATACTAACCATTCTATTCAGGTAGATAAATTCGCTGTGATTATTAACACTGTTGAAACGTTGTTTTTGTGGCCGAAACCGCCATTCGATGCGATCCGAATCCAAGTTCAAACCGCATTCAAATAACACTTCGTCATATAGTGGAGCAACTGTACTTTCTGGCTGCCGTTCCATGTAGGCGCCGAATTTTTCCGCTTTCGTCGTCGACGATGAGGATCGATGTGAAATGGCTGTGACACAATATCGCCCATTTTCCAGAAAAAATTGTGACAGAATGAGAATGACGAAGAAACTCGCTCTCACATTTCCGATGAAATGATGTGCGAATATTTTTAAATACAGCGACAAGTGGCGTCGAGCCATCTTTTTCTCCCTTCTTTCTTTTCTTCTGCTTGTTCGTAGTTCTAATTGTTGGTGCTCACAAATGTCTGTGGACGTCTGCTGTATTCTGTAATGAAAAGGAGAAGAAAAAAAATCAATTTTAATTAGATTTTGAGCTTAAATTATGTCGACTTGTCTTTTATGGAGCCTGTTTAATGTACAGCGGTTTTGTGGAATTTCATAGATATTGTGGCGAGGATTGAATACAAACTATGCACAAATCGAATGGTGCAAGTGTTGTGTCGTGCGCAGCGTGAGTTTTAAATTTAGTAAGTGCTAAGCATATTTGCACATCGCGTCTAACATGTAGCAAATACTGGAAATAGCCAAACACTTGCGACGAAGTTGGCAGCTCATGCTTTTATCTGGCGTTCATAGAAATGCCTACGATTTGTTTTTCTCTTCTAAAATGGGTTTTAGAGCTAATGATAGTTGGAAATTAATACCAATCAAACATTAATCTTTCGCCCACATTCAATTGACAAACAGCGTCCGTTTTTCGTTTGCTCATAATTTCGTACGCTTTTTTTTTTAACTTTTAATCGACACGCACATTTATCAATACATTGAAACGACGAGAAAAGTTGATGTTTTTTTCTTGCATGCGCTGTGCTGCCCGCAGAGCGATTCGGAATCAGTGCTTTGGATTCCAGGGGATTCAGTGAATACAAGCGCGATTAAAATCTCTTTAAGAAAATGTTACTCTTATTAATCCAATCAAAGTGAGATTTATCGGTATTGGGTGTGCTTTTTCTTTCGGGTACTTGTTTTAATGACGCACCAGCTTTCGAACACACATGCGCGGGCTCATATGGAATTCCATTCGGTCACTTGTTGTCCGAACGTGTATATATCCTGAATTATGCAAATGAGGCGCGAGCGCGCACTCGCACAAAGCAGAACTCTTTCGCTTTGTTACGGTGACATTCTTGTCGTAAACAAACACTTAATATTTTCGGTTTAATCAATAAATTCTATTCATTTTGATCCATTGACGACACACAGAAAACTCCCCACTCTTTCACTCTCTCTCTCTCTCTCTTGTTGCTCTTATCGCATTTTATCCGCGTTGAACAAGGGGCGTTGAGGAAGCAAATAAGAAAAGGAGAAGGAATTTCAAAACGATCGCTCATTAGCCATAAATAAATGTCACACGAAAGAATTTTCACACGTTATCTTGTTGTGGCCGTTCGTTTTGCCATATTCCACGACATGCAAATTTCCCATGTTTTCTCTTCGCTTCTTTGTCATTCATTTGTGCGCGCAGATTCAAAAGAGATTTGCAGCTTGTGGTTTTTCCCAATGTGAACACAATGAGCAAGAGTCGATGCCTTCTTGTTTTTTAAACACTTGGTCAGATTCGAAAGACATTAATTCAATTATGAAATATTGTGAATATTTTGTTTACATATTCTAAAAATGATTGGATAAAGTGGCCACAGAAAAATTATGTTTCTGCATTGACGAAAAACAAGCCAATAATCATTTATAAAGATTACCAAAAAAATATCCAAGATTTAAAAAAAAGAGTTGAGCATATAAATTGGAAATTATACCGTATTGTTTTCAACTTTTCGTCAAAGAAATTATGCAAATTTTTGTTTAGCATTAAAATCGCAATATTCGGCACAAAAAAATAGCGTTTGCCGTATTGGAGGCTGCTGTATTCGAAAATCTGACATTCTTTTCTCACTCTCAATCGTTTTGGAATCGATCAATTTTAATGGTTTGTCCATAAATTGAAAAAAAATATTCGCGCAGCAGGAGAATGTCTTTTTATACCGTGTTGTCACATAAAACAGACATGGTTTTCTCGTATTTGACGTTGCTTTAAAAAGAGAGGGAGAGGAACAAAATGGAATTGATCTGAATTTTCAAATAATCAATTTTGAAATGATCATTAAAAATATCCGCATCCACTGGCTTCTGACTAATAATTCAGTCGACGATTTGCTCTGTGTTTAACGCAAATTGAAAATTAATGACTAACTGATGTGGCTGTAGCGCAAACTCTAAGCCGAAAAATCGATTTAATCAAAAGGTGATGCTTCTTAGATCATCGCTAATTAATTTAACATCCAAGCTATTAGAACGTGCTTTCATACACGAAATTCGTACATAATGATCTCACCTTTTAAGGTGACAAACATTTTTCTTAGACTGGATAAAAAAATGAACTACAAAAAACACGAATGAATATCGTGCAGCCGGAATTTTTGTGAGAAAAAAATCACAGTTTGGCGTTTTAATTCCTTCTTCATTAGTGTTGATTAGTTTTTGTAGATGCATTTTTGCTTCATGTTTTTAGGTTTTTTCTTCAAAATTTTGCGCTTCTTTATTAAAGCAATATTAGCCCCAACAGCAGCAGCAACAAAGTTTCTTTTTGTCAAAATAAGAGTTCATTAAAACTGTATTTGACCTTCGGCAGGAACAAATTGCATGTGTTTTTATTGAACGGAAAAAAATGAGTCAGTTGTTCCATCGAAATGAGCAAATATTATATTTAATGATATTAATAATATGTTTCGTTTTTTGGTAACGGCCGAAGTTTGAATAGTATATACAATGTATGCTGTACTTTCAACACAAAGAGGATGTGTGAGAGAGAAAGAGCGAAAAAAGGATGAAAGTGTTTGCACACAAAATTGTTTTCTTCCCATTAAATTCCTAAACGTGTTGCTTAAATATTGATAAAAACTACGTAATAAAGTACATAATAGTATTTATTATGGTGAAACGTATCGTTTGTTTAACGAAAAAAAAAATCAATAACAATAAACGTTTTTACAAAGTATTTAAAACGAACCCGGCCATTTTGGCTTGCTACAGCGTTCGTTTGTTTGGTTCCCACATTCCAATTACTGAAAATTATGAGTGTATGTGTGGATTCAAAAATCGACTCATGTTTTGGTGTCGACAAGCGAAAAAAAACCGCCGTCGCCTTATTCTGTTCTGTTTTTTTTCTGTGACCGAAAAAGAAATGAGTCAAAATAAGCGCGAGACCGTTGAATCCAATCAAAAAGCGATTATCGAACAATTCTATTCGGTCCATACTCGTTCACATTCCCATAGATCACTTTCAATCCAGACTTCCGAAATAGTTCGCCGACCAAAAATGAAGTGCGTGCACACACGAAGCGCATCTATGTTTGAGCATGCATGTTTGTGGTTACGAACGTAAGCTGAATGGGATGAGTCTGTTTTCCAGCATGAATATGTGTTTAGTACGGGAACAGCGCATCAATTAACGGTTTAATTGTGGTTACAGTATACAGAGAAGAGAAAAAACACAAGGCCTTCAGTTGCGTTCTAAGTAAATGGTAATTTAGTCTAGCAGAATGAATAGCACAGAGAGATGAGTTGTTTCGAATCTATATGGAGAAAAAGGCTTGTCCGTGAAATTGATGATCATCTTTCGTCACCCATCTCTCTCGTCTCAAAGACTCCAGAAAATCATTGTTCCGGAAAGAATGAGCTTCCATTTTTGTTTGCTATTCGATTCGTGGCTATTGTTCGGTTTGTTTGCCAAACACGCGCGCGCACGTTCATTCACAAACGCATTAGCATTCCGTTTGTATTCCATGTGTGACACGCATTCGAAAATGGTGGCTTTGCATAGGGAAACATGCAACAAACTATTTACATTTTCCGAATAATTTTTTCTTTCTTGAAAAAGCTTGCAGTCGAAATAAAGAAAAACAGTTACTAATCGAAATGAATGGAGAATTTAACACCAATTTGTGTGCGAACACCTACGGTGATTTTTCTCTGCCTTATTCTTTCTTTCTCTCTTTGCTTGTTAAATGGTTTTTGGCTCGCGCACGCACCTACCCATCATCGAGCATTTTTGTGTGCGCGCAACTCGAACGAATTGTACTCCAAATATTTGTTCGTCAAACACTGTTTTTCTATAATTTAAATTGAGAAATTTATTTGATTGACGCTCTGTCCGCATCGTTTCCTCTTGTTTGTGGTTTGGGCAACTCTATTTTCAGTTTTGCTTCGGTCCATTGTTGGAACAAGATGCCTGCATCGATCACTAATTCAATACCCACCAAATTCCAAATTTGTTCATGCTGATGGCTGTTTCATTCAAAACTTTAAAATCAATTAATTAATTCTACAGTTTTTTTTAGCATTCGAATTATTATTATACGCCATCCAAAATTTGAAGAAAAAAGAATCAAAACGAAACATTTAAACTCGTTTGTTTTCGTTGGAATCTGTTGATGTTGATCAATGTCATAAATCGAATTTGAATAGGTTTTCGGTTCAATTAACAAATCATCGATCAGAAATTGCGGCCACCACACGCACGCACGCACGCACGCACACTCATCTCAACACTTTTGGCTTGAATGGGTATTTTTTTTCTTCCATGAACGTCGGTGGCTTTCTAACCACGGTATGAGCAATAATGTTCGGTATGACGTAAGTTTTGGCATTCATTAGACCTGAGTTTAAATTGAAGCAGCACCAATTTGTATGGATTCCTTCCGCTCCGAAATGATTGAACCACCGAAGACTGCATACGCATCAAACCGATTGGTGCTTAAGTTCTGAATGAATGCTTACGCCTTAGGCCATCAATGTACCGTTATTTCCATTATTACTCTTTTTCCATGACTCCAATTTGCTAAAGGAGCACTCCTCCGGTGTGTGTAATTGAACACTTTTGAAGTATGCAATCGATTGCAATCAACAGACGGAACAAAAAAGGTTACTTAACACTTTAATTCAACTACAAAGTGTTTCGTGTTTTTCTCTCCTGTTGCCAAATGCGACATCACTGCTGACGCATGCATTTCACCTTAATCGGGTGCAACACTTAAAGAGTTAAAATGGCTAATTGGATTTGTGAAACATTGTAATGGAAATTTATCACGCAAATTCATTTGCTGCATTTTAATGTGTTCCAACCTTCATCTAATCGTTATTCAATCACTAAATTCATGTTTTTTTTTACTGTCGTTCGGAGAAGAAAGGCACTCCTTATTTGATCACGGCTTGAATTCAAACCATAACAACCGCAAAAAAAACATCGTGTCAATTAGTAAAAGTTAATGA